CAATCGTTGGTTTGGCGATTGGTTCAATCGTTGGTTTGGCGATTGGTTCAATCGTTGGTTTGGCGATTGGTTCAATCGTTGGTTTGGCGATTGGTTCAATCTTTGGTTTGGCGATTGGTCCAATCGTTGGTTTGGCTATTGGTTCAATTGTTGGTTTGGCGATTGGTTCAATTGTTGGTTTGGCGATTGGTTCAATTGTTGGTTTGGCGATTGGTTCAATTGCTATTCCAACAATCGATCTAACGACAGTTTCTTTTGCTTCAGTAATTTTGGTGGATTCTTTATCATTCGTTGGTGGTAGTGGTAAAGTTTTTGTTTTACTTTCTTGAGATTGTGTTATAGTCAAATTTATCGGGGTTTCTTTTTTATTTATAGAGTTTTGTGTTAATCGTGAATTTTTGAGTGAATTTGATCGTGATAGTTGTAATTGATGTAGTGGTGGTAGTGGTAATGGTGGTGGCGATGCCAGCAGTGATGATAATTTTGATTTTGGTATTTGTTGTTGTTGTTGTTGTTGTCTTGGCTTCTCTTGAGAAATCTTTTGTATATTTGGTAAAACCTTTTCTTTTTTTGGAGTGACAACTTGTTCTTGTGGCATGTTTAGTGGTTTGTCTGTTTTAAAGGAAGTAATTACAGGATTCAAATTTGTTGTATTTTGATTATTAGAAATATCAAGGACATTGTTGTTGTTAATGGCATTGAATGGTGTAGGTAATGGTTTTGATGATGAAGATGGTGATAATAATGAAGATGGCGATGGTAATGAAAATGGTGATAATGGTGATGATAGTGAAGATGGTAATGAAGATGATGGCGAAGAAGATGGCGAAGTTGATGGTGAAGTTGGTAGTGAAGATGGCGGTGAAGATAAAGTAGTAGAAACAACCGAATTTGAACTTGTTTTGTGAGTTATTTTCGATGATGATGATGATGCCAACAATGATGATGTTAATAAAGATTGCGTAGTTGAAGGAGCGTTGGAATTGATATTATTGTTTGATATATCCGTTTTGGTGTACGAGTTTTCGGTTCGATAATTGCTATCAAGTGCAGTTGAAACTTTAACTAGAGAATTATCACCAGTGTTTGTATTGTTTGGATTATTTGGATCGTATGGTAAACTACTTGTTGATATCGCTTTAGGTACATATTTACTTTGAACACCAAGCTGATCAAAGCTGGTTTGTCCGCTAGTATCTTTAACAGGAAGAGGTGGAATTTCTATTTTAATATATTTAGCTCTTTGTCTATTGACCAAAGCGGAAGCGCTTACAAACGCCGGATTATTTGAATTTGATGTAATGTGATGTGAATTTGAATGTCCAGATGATGGCTTATTTCGCAATTTTGAAAACAATCTTCTTAACTTGGTTTTTTTGCCACTTGTATTATTTGAATCTGGATGATCTTTAAGAGAGTCAGGAAAAGTAGTTTTTTCACTTGGCGGTGTTGTGTTCAAAAAGTCTATTAAATCTTGAGCCTGGTGTTTTCTTCTTTTACTTGAGTCATCTAATAAATCATCAAGATCATCATCATCATCATACAAATGGATTGGTTCAGGCCTTCTTGATTTCGAAGGTACTGTATGATCGACACTTTGGAATTTATTTAAAGCATGAGTATTTCTGTTTTTATTAATATTCTCATTATCGTTTTTAATAGAAATCATCCGTTCCAAAGATTTAATACGATGTAATGATGACGATGAATGTTTTGTATTTAATGAATTAGCAGTTGATATTGGTGATATTGGTGACAATGGTGAAAAAGGTGAACCAGGTGATGATGAATGAAAACTAATTAATAAATTGTTTTTTATATATAAATCAGGCCCACTACCAAATCCAGGCCCTGTTTGACTATTGTAAAATATTGCGTTATTTGAATCATGAACCCTTGCAATTATAATATCTTTCTCTTTCATCCTATTACTATCCCCATCCCCATCATTATTATTGCTATTATTATAATCATCATTATAGTTCCTACTACCACTACTTTCACTTCTACCACTATTTCTATTATCATCATTTTCAAAGAATGAAAATATAAAACTATCAAATGTTTTTAACTCGTCAAATGGTTTCCAATTAACAGGATTATATCCTCCAATTATTTGATGATCATTATTCAATCTTGTGATTGTTAATGTTGAACCTTTATCATCACATAAACGATGAAATTTTCTAATACTAAAACCGTCTCTAGTTGTACTAAATAACAATTTAAAAGTGAATGGTAAATTCTTGGTGTTGTTATAAAAATATTGATCTTTCTTGTCGATCCAACTTGAAATTATTCTAATATGCTTTAATTTAAGAATTTCTGAATCAAATTCAAATTTTTTGGAAGGCAGGAACTTAATACTACTATTATTACCATTATTATTGCTATTAATACTACTGTTATTATTACTATTGCTATTATTATTATTGTCACTATTATGATCATTATTAAATTGCATTGATGCAGGGTCTAATATACAACCCAATATTTCAAAAAATGTTTGTTTGTCAAATAGCCGTTCAAATGGTAAAACTTTATTTTTAAACCCTGGTCCATTAATATCTATCCATCTAATTAGTGGTATACAATCTTTGATGATTTCTTTGATCTCTTCAAAATTTTCAATTGTCCAATTTTTCAAATCACAAATTTCCAATGTACTAACTGAACCTTTTGAAATTCCCCATCGAACCAAATACTCCCAAATCTTAAGTTCATCATCCAATATAAAATCATCTCTCCTAAGTATAAGTAACATTAAATCTTTATCTATATTCAAATGTCTTTTAGAATTAAATAATAAATTTGGATCTTTGCAGATTAGTTGAAGACATTTATCACTCAGAGATGAGCATGTCTCATGATTATAAATGATCTCTAGTATTTCAATTGGATCATGTTGTAGAATGATTGATTGATTTTGAAGTAAATATGTTTGTATATGACTTATCAATTTTGTTAGTTGAAATTCATCCGATGCTACAAGAATATTGATCAATTCCATTGTATTATGTTCTACCAAATCAATATCACCCGTATATAAATACCTTTTTTTTTTTTTCAAAAAATAAAAATCAATAAATAAAATTAAAAAAAATTTTTTTATTTCACATTAATAATTTTAACCATTTACTTTAACAATGCTTGAAAAATATTTGAAGAAATATTTGGTTTCCTAAATCTAATTATGCCGTTTTCACGCTTTATCCAAGTTTCAGATAAAGCGACTTGAAAATAAGGTGAACGAGCACTCAAAATGATTGAGTGTGCTTTGAAATTTTTTACATTTGCACCTTCACCAACACTTATAATCATATCATAATTCTTTCCTATTTCAAGAATTTGTCCTATATCGCAAGAAAGATCTTTGTGAAAAGCAGAATCCATTATTATTTTTTTTCTTAATAATAATTTTTCTCAACATTAATTATTATGCACCCCCCCTTATTTTCACATTAAATATGTAGATAGTTATAATTTCTCTTTCAAAAAAATTATAAATTTATAAAACTTTGTAATTTAAACAATAAAGTATCCAATGTTTATATTTACGTGTTTTTAATTATAGGATGATTTGAATTGTTGAATTTGATATTGCCAAAATGCTCAAGTTTTTTAAATGTTTGACGTAATAACAACATAGCAACTTGTTCACGAAATTAAAAGCGTTGTATAAAGAACTCAGTATTCAATGAATCAATATTCAATGAATCAATATTTCAATGAGTCAATGATGCTGAATGCTGATTACTGAGTAGCTGAGAATCTATTTTTTTAAAACATAATTTTTGGGGAAAATTTTAATTCGAATAAAACGAATAACAGCCAAAAAGGAGAAATTAGATATTGAGTGTCCCCTGGAGCCGAATGGCTTATTTAATGAAAAAATTGGGAACAACAACAACAACAACAACAACAACAACAACAACAACAACAACAACAACAACAACAACAACAACAACAATAATTCGAATAATTAATTCGATTAAGAAAATTGATTCGAATAAGAAAATTAATTCGAATAAGGAAATTAATTTTTGAATAAAACAAATAATTCGAAAAAAATTAATTCGGATAAAACAAATAATTAAGGTCCAGTTTAAATTCAAGCTCACTGGAAAGATTTCTATTTATTAAAAGAAACATGAATCTTGTCAATTTTTATAATAATAAAATCAATATTAAATCTTGTTGTATATATATATAGTTTGAATATTTAAGTAATTGAACAACCCATGATTCCAAATAATCTAATAAAATGAATGAACAAACCAAAGATTCCAATAATAATAATGAATAAAACAAATAATTCGAATAAAGCGAATTAAATTTTTAATTCGAATAAGAATTTGTATTACGAATAGAAGCCTAGATTTGGTTAACCAATTTTGCATCGTTATAAAGCGAAAATTGGTTTATGGTAGTTCGGTTTATCGAGGTTTGATTGTATTGCATAATTCCCATTATCTGGGAGTTTAGTTACACCATAGCAAGGAATAATCAACCTGATCTAATTTTACAATAATTTACTGATTGGCTAATACTAATCTGTATTTCACAAAACCCTATTGTGTTGAAGAATTACTTCAAAAACGAATTAAGCACTTCCCTACGAACAAATATAAATACATGACATATGTAATGGAACCATTGGTGTGATTTAGTAGTCATCATTCATTTCCGCTGATATTTGATAACCGACCAATGAATTTGTTAGAAATCAGAAGGCGTCTTCAGAAATTAAAATCTGATTAGATTAAGATTTGATTTTGTTAGCAAGAGTGGCTTGAAAGGAAGTCTGATTATTGAGAACTTTCCTAATTTAGAGAGGTTAGATTGTTATCGTAACCAATTTACTAGCATAAATTTAAAGAATTTACCTAAACTTACCTTTTTCGATTTGATTAAGATTAATAAATAAATTATCATTACAAATATTCATAATATTTGAAATTTTGAAATTTTGAAATTTTTTGGATTTACAAATATTCATTGTTATTTTTTGTAAATCTTACGGTACAGATCATCTATAATCATACTAAAACAAAAAAAATTATATCATTTTAAAAAATTTAACCAATAAGTTTTATTGTTCATGACTCAAGCTTCAAAACTTATCGGCTGGTTTTTTTCTTAAACTGAAAATTGGCATTTTGGAAATTCCAAATTTTGTTATGCACCTAAGAAATTGAGACCAAGTAAATTTCGTGCAACAACTTTTTTTTTATAAAATATTTTCTACAACATTAAAAGAAAATCATTACCAAATTTTGGTCGTGAGATTCAAAATATTGTATATATAACACGAAAATTATTGTATTTCTGAGCGTAACTCAAATTTAAAAAATCTATGGAAAGAAAATTTGAGACAAATTTTTTTTTTAGATTAATAGACTCCCTTTCCAAAGCTGAATTGAATGGTGGTGGGTTTTTTAAAATCCAATGTGTGGATCACATAATATTTCAAAAGTTTTAACTTTTGAGTATAGGTGATCCGCACTGCAAGATTTATTTTTAATAGTAAAATAAATCTTAATCAAATCCTAAAGATTAAATAAATTTTTGATCAACAAATTTATGAGGGCAGATCAATCAATCCAAATCAAAAATTTAATTTTGATTTTTTTTGATATGTGTATTAATGAATATGATGATTGTGATCACTAGGCGTAATTGCCAAAGTTGTTGATGACAATAACGTTGAATTTACCATTCCCTCCCTACAAATGACAGCATAATAAAGATTAATGTTCAAAAAAACACGTCATACATCAATTGCACCCAGTCAGTTCCCGATCCAGAATGTGCTCACTGTTCACAAGATACAGGGCCTCACGTTACTACGAAGGTGTATATATGTTTGCCATTTATGTGACGATGAGCAGGATCGGTCCCTTCAATTTTGATTGTTTAAAGGTAGACTTTGTTAAATACAGGGGGTTAAGAGAAATCAAATAAGCGTTAGTGCATTCCATCATTGTAAAAATTAAAAAAATTTTTTTTTTTTGAATTAAATCAGCAAAGTGTCACTTTTTGATCCATTTTTATTTTTTTTGTATTACACTTTGCTCACCCGCACATGCTTAATTAAAAAACCTGTTATATATAAGAATCATCATATTGTCTAACTTGTTTACATTTCATTCCAAAAAAGAAAAAAATTATTTTCGAGCCTTAACCTTTTGAATTATATTAATATGTATATATATATATATATACATGTATTTATTTTTTTATTGTTATTATTATTATTATTATTATTACTCATTCATTTTTTTTTTTAAATTTTTTTGAAATGGATGAAAGAAAAGAAATAACGAAAAGGAGAAACATTTCTTTTTAAGGTGAGGTTACAGAGATTCTATCGTCCGTGTTTGAACAAAGAGATTAACCTGAATCCCAGTCCCGTTGGGTATGATGAGAAAGGAAAAAGCGGGTGGGACTGGGCCTTTATCCTACATCCGAGCCCTTTTGATTCTTGGTAAGTATGTCAATATTTGCTTTTATGCAAAATATTCGTGAATCAAAGAGAAGGGCTCGAAGAAATCTTGTTGCAGGAGTGGTTAAAGGTATAACACTAGGTTACTATGTTATATAGCACATTCCGAGACATGACTCTTGTGTTTCGAGACTTTTAGCCTTGATAGCAGGAGGATTGACGTGATAATCAGCGGACAATTTTAGTAATTCTGAGACCTATTGTCAATAAAATCAGAATTATAATATTAAAAAAATTTTTAAATATTGGAATTTTTTCCTCTGTTGGCGTTGTTGCCTTCGAAATAGAATACTTTCTGCATGGTCCTTGTTCCAGAAACATGGGTGATGCAATTGTTTGTTATACCAGAATAAAAAAATAACGATGAAGAAGGAATCGTGTCCAGCGGTAATACACATACACCGAAGCGCAATTAGCAGTGGGATGCGAAAAGTTCCATTACCGGAGAGTACGGAACAGGAAAACGAACAACAAAAAGAAAGACGATTTACGAAGGGAAAAAATTAAATTTCTTTAAACGAGATTGATAAAAATAATTAATCGGTATGAACAATCAATATTCAAAAGTGCATTTAATTGATTTCGATTTTTCATTTTTATAAAATAATAATGATTTTTTCACGTTTTTGTTGATTAGAATCATTGTATCATACAAATAAATAAAGGCAATCATTTCTGTTACTTTCCAAAGAGACTACTTAGTGATTTTTTTTGATGTTGTATTTTTTAATGATTATTCTTGACACATTTCCATATATGTTGTTAAACCACGCCTATACCTCTTAAAATATGCATTCTTTATTTCTGGGAATTTATCGTGATCAAAAGTAAATCTTATGTCAAAGAGAAAATGTGAATTTTTCTTAATGATTAAATTTGACCGAAAAAGAAGTAGGGGATGATGGATCACATTGCTGCTAATTTCGCATGGATTACAAGAAAATCCATATTCTCAAAGTCTGGACGGTTTGGATTTTCAAAGGTCAATAAAATATATTATACATGCATGTTGGGAGACATCATTGGGTTAAAAACGATGATTTTAAATAAAGATGGTTCGGTAGTAAATGAGATCGATTCTAATGGCACATTCACTTTTGATTTTAAATTATTTAATTAATTATGATTCCCAAATACACGTTATTCTGTTCTTTAGGGTAAAATATTATTTGATCACGGAGTTAATGTTAATAATGTTATATCACCAACTTTTGTAAAAATATTTTATACATTTGTTTTTTATCATCATTAATTTGAAATATTATCGTACATCTGTTAATAATCGTGTAAAAAAGTGGAGAATTTTTTATTATTATATGGGAAAAACCAAAACTACAATAATATTCTTATGTACAAACAGCTTTACAAAGATGTTATAATCTAAAGAAAAAAATGGGTTTAAATTAACGGTTCAAAAAATCTGAATTAATCCATCTAAACTCATATCTAATGATCGATTGGACTATATACAATGATTTTTACCCTATATTATTATATATGTATATAAATAAATACACTTTTTTAGGTTTTTTTTTTTCCTAAAAATGGATTTGTTTGGTATATTATTAATAAACATCTCACGTAACAAGGTCTCAAGGTCCTAGCCATATAAAACTATTAATCAACTAATCATTGATTTATACTTCAGACAGTTGATCGAGAGGACCGACTTATCAAGTTTGCCTGTATATGATTGGTTTAGTATTAATGATGTTTGATGATGTTGATAATGTTTGCATTATTTTTGTTGCGGGATAGAATTGGCTTGATTCACATATTTTATTAACGCATCTCTTATATCTTCTTTTCTAGCAGGTTTTGAAACAAAATCATTCATTCCTGATTCAATACAATTTAATCTATCATGCCATAAAGCATTCGCTATTAACACATAAATACAAGCAAATAATTTAATTTGATTGTATTTATCAATAAAAATAAGAATAAGGATGGTCATGATTATGATGATTTACTTGCCTGTTAGTGCAATTATCCAAGGTCTTTTTATATCTTGACAATTACTACGTATTATCTTTGATGTTTGAAATCTAAAAATAAATTTGCTTGAAAAAAAAGAAATAATATATTTAAAAAAAATATAAATTATATAATAAACACGTACCCATCTATGTACATATATTTGCAAGATATATATATAAAGTATAAAATACATGTAAAATTAGAAATTTTAGTCAATAATAATAACATCGTAATAAAATCATCAAAATCATAATTATTTACCCATATCAGCCATTGAAATGTCCATAAATATAACATCATATATCTTTTCATCGCATTTTTTTATTGCGGTTTTACCATCACCCGCTATTTCGCATTTTTGATTCAATTTAGAAAGTATTCGTGATGTTACCAACTAATTTAATAAAATCATTATTAATTGATGATACATGTTTAGACATAGTCAACTCCAAAAAAAATTATTACCTGATTTATTTGATTATCTTCAACGACTAATATCGCTAATTTAGGCAATCCAAAATCATCCTTACTATTATGCTTGCCGTTTATGTTAAAAAAACTTGATGAGATTATTGGTGAAGAAGACAATCCTGGTGTGATTGGTGGTTGTTGCGTTATTTTTATAGACGATGATACCGGTATTATATTGCTGGTTTTTATACTGGGCAAAATATTTGAACATATTGATGGTGACGGTGATGATGACTGTTTTTTTAATGTTTTATTTAATAGTGATCTTTCAGAATTTGTTGATGACAACGATAAATTTCTTTGTTGTTTTTTACTTTTAAATATTTCATTTTGTGATTTATTATCATTGTTGTTGTTATTTGATGACATCGTTCTACGTTTTTCTTTGTTGTTAAGAATATCATTATTACTATTATTATCACAACTGATATTGTTTATGTTATCATGATTAGAAATAAAATTTGCATTTATGTCATCTATACTATTCCTACTACTAGTACCACCAATACTAACATCGTTATCATCATGTAATTTACTAAAATTAACCAACATCTTCGTTTTTTCATATGTATCGTTTTTAATGTCAATTGATTTATCAAATTCAAAATTATCATTACTATTATTGTTACAATCAATCCCAGTATTATTATTATAATAATAATTATCATCGCAATCATTGTCATTGTAACCTTCATTATTATTGATATTATCAACATTATTATTATTATGAAAATTATTATAATTTTCCCATTCCAAAAAATTCAACATTGGTTTAAATTTAACAGGTGATGAAGAGTAGACAATATTTACACCTTCTATCTTGAGATTTTTAAATGTTGTTTGTAATGAAGAATTAACTAATATCATTATCGACCATTTTTTCAGCCTCAGCCCTCCCTTCAACTCTGCTTTAAATAAATCCAACTCGTTATTATCTATTAATAGTTTTAGATTGATAATCAATAAATTAATTTTTTCCTTTTCACCGTTCATCCCATCATTGTCATTGTCGTCACAATCGAAATAGGAATTTTTAAATTTAATAAGTTCTGTGAAACTATTAAAAAAGATTGGTTCTTTTTGAGAACCACATTGCCGCAGTATTTGTTTTAGTCCAATCCTATTGGAATTATATTTTTCCAGCACGCAAATTGATTTTGAAGTTTTAGTTGGTGATAGTGTTGGGTATGAGGGGGAATTTGGGTCTTCTTCGAGGTATACATGAAATATCATTATTGTGCCAGATTTATCTTGAGTGTTTGGTTCTACACGTATATCACCATCCATCAACTTAATCAATTTACTTACTATTGCCAATCCTAAACCTATAAATATAATAGGAAGTTGGATGTGAATTTATTTTTAATAATATTAATATTAATAATAATAATAATAATAATGAAGAGACAACATAATAATATATATTCTTTTCATACCAGTACCACCATATTTGCGCGTTATGCTGGCATCTGCTTGTGAGAATTTTTCAAATAATCTTGGTAATACTTCTTTTGATATACCTATTATTATTTTTTAAAAATAAATAATCTGAACATCAAGTTTAATAAATAGCATGTATTTCTTTAATTTGTAAATACAAACCAATTCCTGTATCAGTCACCTCTATTATAACTTTGACTTTCCTAGTACCATTAATCGTCACATGTTCGCTATCCACTTTAATCATGACATCTCCATCAGCCTGAGTAAATTTGCAAGCATTTGACAATAAGTTTACAATGATTTGTCTGAATCTAGTCATATCACCAACAACATTATAAGGAACATTTTTATCAATAAAATAATTAATTCTTGGTCTGGATGATTCTTGTCCTTGTAGTGAAACTATATCCAAAGAAGTTTCTATGGCTTCTTGTACACAGAATGGAATTCGTTCGAGATGTAGATGTTCTTCTTCGTATTTTGAAAAATCCAAGACGTTGTTGATTATTGCTATTAACATATCACCACTTTTTTTAATAATCTCTAACAAATCACGCATTTCTCTCATTTCACTATGATCTGAGATACTAGGCGTTTCAAGCAGTATTGAAGTTAAAGCAAATATTGCATATAAAGGTGTGCGCATTTCGTGAGACATTACTAAAATTATTATCATTTAAAAAAAATCAAATTATTTTTAGTCGATTATTATTTCAATGAATAATCTTTGAATTAGTTAATAACAATACATTAATTAATACATACCCGCAAGAAATTCACGGTGTGCCTATTTAGTAAAAAAAAATAAAAAAATAATTGGATAAATAAATAATTACTAAAAGAAAAAAAACAAATAAATTATCCACTTTGATTATTACCTGTATTGCAGAAGCTTCCTTTCTGGCCAATTCCAATGCTTCATTTTTTTCAGCCAATTGACTAATACGTGCCTTTTTTTTTTAAAAAAAAAAAAGAAGATAAACCAATTAATTAGTCAGTTAAAAAAATATCAATGTGAAATTATTATTACTACTATCTTATCTTTTATTAGGTTTGTGCTTACTTTGTCTTGTTCTATTAGGCTGGATTGAGTCAAAGCAATAGATATTTGTTCGGCTAAATCGGATAAAAATGTTAAAGTAGTTGATGTCCAATCTTCACGTGATTTATTTTTAGAAATATTTGAAACTTTCCATCGTTGTAAAATTATGATGCCGTGTTCTTTTTCTGACATTGATATTGGAACAAGTATTACCTAGAGGAAAAAGTAAATAAAAATTTTTTTTTTAGAATTTAAAATTCATCCATCTAACTAACATTGATTGAAATAAGATAAAAAAATTAATTTACCCTATCCAGATTATCATAATCTCCATCGATATATAGGTCATATAACTCGGTATCATTGGAACTAAGATGTGATGTGACGTTATTTTTAAACATATTTTTAATCATTAAACTATTTGGATTTAACTGAGAATTTGTCGTATTGTATTTTTGTTGAAACATTTGATTAGAATCTTGTACACATTCCCAACAACCAACACGAGTTTTCATTATAAATATTTGGCATCGATCAGCATCCAGTATTTCATAAAGTTGAGACACAGTGTTATCATATATCACATTTTTTGATAAGATTTCACGTATCTTTTTTTATACATAAATATAGATATAAATATAAACATAAATTATGAATAATAATCATAATAATAATAATAATAATAATAATAATAAATAAATAAATAAATAAATTTCACATACAGCATGAATTACACGTCGAAAATTGGACATTAATTGATTTTCATCACGTAAAAATCTTTCGGATAATAATCTTGAAGAAATTTCATCTTTATATTGAGCAGCTAATAGAGGTAATTCCAACGCTTTAGGAATGATGATTACTAAAGCTCCAGCAGTTATCAAAGATACTACAGCACAAATAACTTTTATTATTGCAGAAATAACATAGGATTGATTCCAAGGCATCCATGCGGCCACTACGTGAGTTGCTCCACATAATATTATGAAGGCTGAAAATAAAGCAAATACTAGAGGAAATGGTAGTTTTGGTGCTGTATCAAATGTATATAAAAATAATATGTTATTGTTTATAAAAAATTTTCTTGGAATCATGTGATTTTTATCATAGAAATTTACAAACCTTTTCTCATGAAATAAATCAGTTGAACCGGAATAGTGAAATAGGCGAGTGCAATCGCCAAGTCAACTATAAATAAAAACCACGCAAGCGACTCATCTATAAAAGGATTAAAAAAAAATTTTCTGTTAATATAATGGTGATGATGATCCCATTATAGATTGCTACAATTAGATTTTAAAAACATACTTAATGGCATAAGACATCTACCACCTTCAATTGTGTATAATACATTTTTCTTTGGCCATCGATTATAACCATCCGGTGTAAATAATTCAAAATAGTAACTACGGCAATGACCAATACTAGGCATTGATACTTTACATACATACATACATATATAATATAAGATTAAGGGTAAAGTTAAATTTTTTTCGGATAATTTAAATTACCTGTTGTAAATAGACCGTGATCATCAAAAACATTCATATCTCCATTCATCAAAACCTTTTCGTTGCCAAGAGCTAAAGAGGCATTAATCGAAGATAAATCAAAATTTAGTTGATTCTGGTTGTTCTCAAATCTTATGAAAAACGTAATCATATTTGGCTCAGTAAACCAATGTCCTCCAGTAAAGATAGATTCCAATTGTGGGAAATCTAAAGTTGAAATGTTTGAATCAGTTGTAGTTGTTGTCGGCAATGTAGTAGAGTCGGTAATTGTTGTTGTTGTTATGTTATTGTTATTTTTAATAGGAGTATAGTCGTTTAAAGGTATATGTGATGCCGTGGAATGAATTGGTATGAAAAAATAACTACAAGCTGATAATAATAATACAAAAGTTATCATTATAGTAAACACTTTCACTAAAACGGTAAACTGTCTTGTATTGTTTATCATTTTCATTATTATTATATTATTATGATTATTATTTAAAAGTTTTTTTAAACTTAATAATAAATCTAAAAGAATGAAGAAGAAAAGGAATAAAGACAAAAATAAATAAATGAAAGTAAATTTTTGAAAATCTTGCAAAAAAAAAAAAAAACAAAAAAAGCATTTATTACAACAAGATTGCATCATTGTTTTTATTTTAATACATATTTTCCTCACACACGAAATCTTTTGTGACCAGGTAAGACCGAATACTTCTTTCTGTGAAATAAGGGATAGAATCTTTTTTACAAACAAATAATCCCAAATTATTTATTAAACACGAGGTCTTGGTAAAATCCATAAGAATTAATAGGCTGCACTGAACACATAATAATGCTCTTTTGTCCAAAAAATTTTTCTTAATATACCTGAAAATTTTGATGTGTGATACACAGAAGTAATTGGACATCAAGTATTAGTAATGTAATATTTTCGTGCATTTGTGAAATAATAATAAGATTAACCAATCAAATAATCTTCCGCTACCATTCGGCAAAACAGGAACTTCCGATAAAGAATAATAATAATAGTAGTAATAGTAGCAGCAGCAGCAGTAGTAGTAATAGTAATAGGATTCCGCGCTCGACATTTTATAATTATAATAATGGTAATAGCATTTACGCCCGTTTCTAATACCAAATATCTAATTTTTTTTTCGAATATATTTGAATTTATTGTTATTTATTTGGACACCTTATATATTTGTATTACATTATCATTGCTATTACGAATATCCAAAATAATAAAATTTTAAAGTTTATTTGTTTTGTGACAATAATTCAATTGCTTTAGATTCGTTCAAATGATTTAAGTGATGGTTTTAGAAGATCTTCAAAAATTTTGTGAGTGATCGCTGATAATTTCTTTGTTTATGTCACAATTTATTGATTTACACATAAAATGTTCTGCGCAAAAAAATAGAAGCTTCTAAAATTTATTGCCAAGATTTTTATCATTTTGATAAATGTGCACAAATATTTGATTGGTCATCTCATTTTTATAACTTTAAAAGTAAAAAACAAAACAAGTTGTTGTTGTTGTTATTGGTGATGCTTTTCTGGTTTATCTACTGCTAATATTCTTATTCTTGGTTATAATGGTTTTTCTGGTAATTCTCATAAAGCTACTTCTGGTGTGCTTTAACCAGAATTCAAGTGGGTGGAGACTATTTTTTAATAAAAATACCATGATGAGTTATATACACGATACACACTCTCTATAACGACATTTTCTCTAACGATCCTTGTTCTATAACGAACTGAGATTTAAGCCCGATTTTTTACTATTTAAAAAATCTCTATCTAATTAAATTTTCTATGCTGTATATATAACGAAAAATTATCTTATATGTCCTATGACCATATATCACATGACATTAATTATCTTGGAACTGGTTAATATAAATACTAAAGTATTGTTAAAATGATTCGCAAATTCGTAATAAACAGATATGCATTTGAGGATTAAATGAAACCATATTCATATATATTATCGGCTAAATTATATTTAACTGGTTAAAAACCGGTTTCAACATCTCTATTTATTTTTTCTTAATTTAGTAATTTACATTTTAACTTGTATATATAATAATAATTTGAAATTTATGTTTTGTTTTTTATTTTTATTTTTTTTTTATGTTAACAACACACAAAACACCCAATGGTTTCATAGCAGCATGTTGATTGATATTGGCCACACGTTTTGCAAGCATATTAATATCAATAGGAATCCAAGAAATTTTATTTTTGTGAACCCCGAAACAAATTTTTAGGCTCTTGTAAATAAATTCAAAAATTTTTCTTGATTAAAAGTTTAATAGTTAATTTTGATGCCAATAAATCTTAAATTTTGTATATTACAAGAGCCACAAAATGCTATTTTATTTGAAAAAATACCTTTTGCAATATTTGTATGTTTTTATCTTTGGCGACGTATTTAACTTTAAAAAGAGATTTTCGGTCATTTTTTTCATATAGAATTTGTTTAAAAAAGGAAATTTCAAATGTTACGAAAATGATGCGTTGTGTATAGAGTAATTTAAAGTTAACGTTAACGTTAACATCAACGTCAACGTCATCATTTACTTTAATGTTAACGTTAAGTTAAGCATTGCCATAATTTTTTTATAATAAAAGAAGGAAAAGATGTCGGACCAATAAAAAAGCTTAAGCTGACTATGAATTACATCCTTTGATTTATATAATAATAGATAACTTATGTTTAAATAATTAAAGCCACCATTAAAGTTTTAACATTTTAATTAATTTATAAAAATAAATTTTTTAAAAATAGAATTAAGCTTTAGTTTAAGAAATGCCTTCTAAATTCGAGTAATAAAAATGAAATACAAAGGATGAGTTCATTGTGGAATAACTAATATTTCTGGAAAAGATGTGATTGGTCTTGATCCTGGGAGGAAAGATTTATTTGTTGTTGTCGACAATAAAGAAAGAGTTGCTCATTGTGGGACAAAAGAGTACAGAGATATGGCTAGATTTGTGCAAAATAGGAAGAAAATAAAAAGATGGCTCAACCAAGTAAGCTTTTAACACCTTTACTATTTGTTAGATAAAAATTAGTGATTTTATTTGTTAATGACCAAATTAGTTCATTATAGAATCAAAATATATCAAAACTTACAAAATGCTCTACCTACATCACGTGCATCCACCAAGTCCAACTTCTTAAATCATATTCAATTTATTTTAATGCATTATCATACCTTCCGATCTTTTTATGGTGCACTTTGCTTTTGCAAAATAAAATTTGATAATTATGTTGGCAAGCAACAAGCACTTTCTAAAATGTGTCAACAGATCATTGGTAAACCACAAGACTGGCATTATTCTGATGTAGTTGTGGCTTATGGATCTGGTGTATTCTCCTCTTCTTTTCCTGGTTATGCTTCAGGACCAAAAAACAGTTATACTAAGAGTTGAAAAGAAGATGTACCACTTGATTGGTAAATGAATCTAAAACAAGCCAGACATGTTAAATAATTCTTATATCTGTTTTTAATGCAATATGTCTCACTCACATTTATATTTACAGATTTGCTCAAAGTGTAAAAATCCTTTCCAAAATCCTCAAAAAATATATTCATTAAATGTATGCAGAGTTTGCAATAATGGCAATGGAATGTTGTGGAATAGGAATGTGAATGCTGCAAGAAATATAAGAGATATTTATAACTTTATGTGTAAAAATGGAGGGGAACAACCTTCACAATTTGTTAGGTCATAATTTACATTATTAACTTATGGACCTTGTGGGGATTTCCTAGAAGCAATGTTCAACCCAGTAGCACAATGTATATATACTTAACTGTATGTGTACATGGGACAGTTTTGATTTATCAGTTCTGTAAAGTGTAATAGTTTAGTTTTAACTCAATCTTTGATCTTATTTGATTTTAATATCAAGTGGAAATGGAAAATACAAATTTATTTTGTCACTAGTTAGATAAAGCAATACATGGTGTAATCATAATTTTCTTGGAATTGGAAGAATGGCATTTTTTTTTTTTTTTTGATATGAATGTGGCCTTTGGAGAATAAATTTTCCCAACGTAATATCACACATGAAGAAAATTTTTGTAATTTGTTATTGTTTTTCCAGCAAAGTAAATTGGTAGGAATGATTTTTCTAAAAGAAAAAGAAATTTGTCTTCAGTCCTAATAATGAAACCTATGATTGATTATCAATATTATGCAAGTCTATATGTATACAGTATATATAGCACTTAATCTAAAAAGTGAGATTTTTGGAAGGTAATATAGTATTTAAGCCTGATAAATTGTTCTTAATGTTGAGAAATAATAAATAATTGGATGTTGATCAAGATGCTGAAGATGTGATTTTATCTTATGCACCAGCTTAAACACATTCCCAAAATTATTTCATGAAAAGATATTACACAACTCCATAACATTTTTTCCATCATTAGATATATCATTTTTATAAATATACATTCTTACTGTTTTTTGTAGTGTAATTATTTTCTTTCTTTTTCTAATGACAAAAAAAAAATTTAAATATTAACCAATGCTATATTATAATAACTATCAACCCGGAGCTTATGTCTTAAAAAAATGAGATTTTGGAAAATATTTAAGCCTATCAAACTTTTTCAATCTAGAAAGATCAATAAACGTTGGGAAGTTCTAACATACATGTAAGGTTGCTTGCTGGAACCTCTTAGTGACTGTCAAATCTCTGTCGAAACTCTAATGAACAATTAATATATACCTTGTCAAAGCTCTGGCGATTGACAAAACCCCCAAATGTGAAACTCTGTCAAAACTCTAATAAACAATTAATGTGTAACTCTGTCAATTGATTGCTGGAGGAGTTTCACCCACACCTTACATACATGAGTGGTTATTGATGTTGTAAATAAAAAATTTAAAATGGTTCATGTTAGATCTTGATGTAGTGATTGATTCTATCTGGAGGTGGAGGTGGAGGTAAATGGGCTGGTATACTAGGCTTAAATACAGTTCCCATCCCAATATTATCTCATAAATAAGATATTACACAACTCCATAAAATTGTTTCATCATTAAATACATTATTTTCATAAACGCTCTTACAATGCTTTGTGGTGTGCAATTAGTCTTCCAACTTTTCTTTTCCTATTCATAAATAATAAAGAAAAAATTAAATACCCAACACTCACTACTCTGCCTAGATATTTTTTAACTTTTTTGTTTCAGTGCTATTGCCATCTCTGATGATATTCAGATTTTCAGTCACAAGATGCAACTCATACCTATGAATAATTGCCTTGTAAACTTGTTGAATAAATGAAAAAATTAAATATCCAATTCCAAAATTTGTCTTTAAAATGTTGTTCAAAACATATATTGCCCCCATGGGTATCCACTCTATCATCCATACATTCAGAAGTCATCAACAGAGTTTCATTATCAAGATTTCATGTAGTTAAAAAATAATCATTAACTACTTAAAGTATAACAATTTTCCCCATTACTTCATCCAAGCTGGCCAGGTCCTCTGCCACAGCTCTTTTGATATCTGATTTGACAAGTGAAAGAATATTATTTATTGAATTATTAGTGTTGATTTCTCATTAACTTTAATGTCTGGATTTAATGTTCTTACATTTCCTCATTTTTCTTGAGAAAATTCACCTTGCCTTTTTAGTAAGACAACTATACTTGCTACCCAAAGTGTATAGTCAAAATTTCAAATCCCAAATAGGGTAAAAACTATTTGGGGCTTTTGAGGTGTAAAATTTCCCCCCAAAAATACAGAGAAACTAGTACAAATTTAGTAATTTATACAAGATACATTCCAAATTCGTATCTAAATGTGTCATTTCATAAAATTCAAGGGTTTAGGATTTGGTACAACTCCCACATATATAAAAAGTATTGTATATTAATAAGCTCAAGTTGAAGTGACATTGATTTATGAATCAGAAAGTTACAAACAACATTAAAGATATGAGGGAGCAAGGTATAAAAAAGCAATGAAAAAAGTTCAAATATACAAGGCTCCTTAACATTGTCATGATCTTTATCACCATCATTATAATCTTTTTTTCAGCTACCTTTCCATTTGATTAGTATCCGAAGCAGCAGATCTGTAAGTTCTTGCATTGAAATTGTACTTTTACAGTAATCATGATTTAATTATTGTGACCTTTCTTTTTTTTTTGTTCTTTCCTTTCTATTATTATTGTACATGATTAAATAAATCTCAGAGAGAAAGTCAAGGTGAAAGTATAGGTTAGTGAGAGCCTGTGATTCTGGATGGAATAAATAATGGATCAAAAAAAGTAAAAACCTATTATGTACTATTATATATAGCATTTAATAAAAAATTTTACATTTTTAGGGAGAAGCTTGTGCATGGATATTTAGGTGAATCTATGATTTAGAATGAATAGAACCAGCTGTTGAATTAGGTTTAGAAACTAGTATTTCGGTTGTAAGTTTGTTCAACATTAAACATGTAAATTTTGTTGTCTGATTGATTTGGAAATTTATTATAAGCCAATATAGAGATTGTATTGGAAAAAGAATATATACATGTATTTTATTGTAAGGATTGAATTTTGATATTTTTTGACATAAATTTTATAAAAACATAGTTTAAAAAAAATCATTCATTCTTCTTTACTAATTCATAGACTTCAAATTCTTCTAATGTTAAAAAATCAAATATATCCTTATTTATAAAATTCAAATTATTTTCATAAGGATTATAATTGCAATCAAAGCGATAATAAAAATAAGGACCCTTATCAATGCTATTACATAATGCAAAATTGTAAAAACTTACAGTAGATTCATGAAATGTTAGTTCATTTAGAATTATACTAAATTTTCGTTTACTGTGCCATATTGCATTATTTGGATTTTTGACTCTACTTATTATTGAATTCATTGTTTGATTTTCATTGATTTTAAAAATAAAACTTTTATTTGTTTTAATAAAATATTCCTGATCTGGAGACCTTCCTTTAATATTCCAACAAACAGGATTATAACCACCAATTAATTCTCCTGTTTCTTTAATTTTCACAATTGCTATAGTCTGTTCTATATCATAACATTTTTTCTCAAAGACTGATCTAGAAAACCCATCTTGAGTTCCACTGAGAATTAATTTAAATTCATAAGGTAAAGTATTTGCATTATATGAGTCTTTTGTCTCATCAATCCAGCTAGAAATTAAACATATTTTTTTAAAATTTAATAAATTTCCTCTTGCTCTTGGACCTTTTTGAAGTAGTAATTTTGGTTTCCAATCAACACAGAGATAATATTGAAGAAGTTCTTTATATAGTTCTTTATCAAAAGATTTTTTAAATGGTGTAATTTTATCATGAAAATCAATTGGAGAGATATGATTGAATCTTATCAATGGAATAATATCTACTAATATATTTTTTAATATGATAAAATCATCTTTGTTCCACTCTGAAATATATTTGTTTAATTTTTTGTTTTGTCCTATACCCCATTGAATAACAAAATTCCAAATGTCAATTTCTCTTATTTCCAAATCATTTCTTTTTAATATAGATATAAGAATAGATATGTCAATATTATTAAAATCATCAGATTTTAAAAATAGTTGAGGATTGTCATAAATTAATTCATCAAAATGATCTTGAAGTAATTTGTAATTTGATGAAATTTTATGAACATAAGCTAAATTATGTTGAACCCAATCTTTTTTTTCAACTATTAAATGATTTTGTAAATCATCAATTAATTCACTAAAATTTAATTCATCACATGCTTCAAGAAGTTCAAGAATTTCTTCTGGAGTCATGTTATCTATATTCATAATTCCATTGTAAATATATCTTTTAAAATTAAAAAATTAAAAAATTAAAATTTTTTTTACAAAAAATTATTACACATGTTATAATTAATTAATTAATAAATAATTCTTACATCAAAATAACTTCAAATACTTTTGGAGAAATATTTTTTTTTTCAAACAAAATAATATTACCATCATCAGATTTTTTAACCCAATTATTTGAAAAAGCAGCTTTAAAATATGAAGATCTTGCTTTTAAAATAGTAGAATGAGCTTTAAAAGTTTTAACATCCAGACCTTCTCCAATTTTAATTTCTACATCATAATAGTCTGTTTCAATTAGCAACTTTGTTAAATCATTTAGAAGTTTACTAGTATAGTTTAATGATAGAGCATCTTTATTTGAATTTATAAGTTTGTCAAATAATGAACTTATATTCTCTAATGTTGACATTTTTGAAAGAATTTATTTTTCTTGAAAAAAATAATAATAATAATAAAAATTTATTAATTTATTAATTAACAATCCTGTAATAAAAATACTCGAAAATCCTGTTTTGACACAGGAAATTTACATAGTAATAAAACGTGATATTTCGAGTTTTGTGTAACAAAATTGTCGTCTTCAATAAGCAACGTTTACTTATATGTTTTTCCAATCCTAAGTAAGTAGTGAGGATCTATATAATACGAATAAAAAAAAGTATTAAAATATTTTTTTTTTACAAACCAAAATTTGTTTCATTTTCTATTTTATGAATGAAATCATTAACAATTGGAAGAGTTTTTATTATTATATATTAATTATATAAATTGGGTAAATTATAATTTATTTTTAATGCTGAAATTTATTATATATATATTTTTTAACGTGAAATGAGTATTTCTCTATTATTTAATATACCTATTTAATTATAAGAAATACAAACAAAACAGGATTAGTAGATATATTATTCTGCAAATAACTAGATCATCCGGAATTCTATAGATAACCTTAATATTTGTATTTTAATTAGCATTAAATAGATTTTAGTTCATAAAAAAAATTTGGGAGCATTTCTCCAAACGTGGTGAATGTCAAAATTGCGGAATGATACACACACGGCTTTGCCTACATGGATCTCATTTAACGTGATACATGCAAACGTTCTTGACCTGTCATAGAAAAACATTGTATGATTTGGTCACGAAGTGTCAGTTTTATGGATGAACTTATTTATTAACAATTGGATGAGTCTTTTATTATCAGTTTGTTGATTATATATATAACTAAAGGTAAATTAAGAATCTGTTTTAATGCCAAAATTTGTTATATTACTAATATATTACCCTGCATATAATTAGATATTTAGAAGTAATATTTTAACATTTTAACGACATTTAAATTGGCATTAAAATCAATTCAATAAAATTTGATCACAGTGTGTAAAATTCAGCGGGAGGGCGTAACGTTACACAATCCACGTGCACACATATTTTTTAGAAATTTTTAATTTAATTATTATAATGAATATTGTATTATCCTTCTTGTTTTTTACTTTTCCAATGCTCTAGTGCTTTTAAAAAAATCAAAAATTTCAATTTGTGGTCCATTATTAAATGATCATCTAATGTGTTTACATTCATTTGTTTTCTCATATTGTTTTTAATTAACTTTGTTTGAGAAAATCTTCTTTTTACATGAGCATTAGAAATGGGTATAGTTGTACTAAATAACAATTTAAAAGTGAATGGTAAATTCTTGGTGTTGTTATAAAAATATTGATCTTTCTTGTCGATCCAACTTGAAATTATTCTAATATGCTTTAATTTAAGAATTTCTGAATCAAATTCAAATTTTTTGGAAGGCAGGAACTTAATACTACTATTATTACCATTATTATTGCTATTAATACTACTGTTATTATTACTATTGCTATTATTATTATTGTCACTATTATGATCATTATTAAATTGCATTGATGCAGGGTCTAATATACAACCCAATATTTCAAAAAATGTTTGTTTGTCAAATAGCCGTTCAAATGGTAAAACTTTATTTTTAAACCCTGGTCCATTAATATCTATCCATCTAATTAGTGGTATACAATCTTTGATGATTTCTTTGATCTCTTCAAAATTTTCAATTGTCCAATTTTTCAAATCACAAATTTCCAATGTACTAACTGAACCTTTTGAAATTCCCCATCGAACCAAATACTCCCAAATCTTAAGTTCATCATCCAATATAAAATCATCTCTCCTAAGTATAAGTAACATTAAATCTTTATCTATATTCAAATGTCTTTTAGAATTAAATAATAAATTTGGATCTTTGCAGATTAGTTGAAGACATTTATCACTCAGAGATGAGCATGTCTCATGATTATAAATGATCTCTAGTATTTCAATTGGATCATGTTGTAGAATGATTGATTGATTTTGAAGTAAATATGTTTGTATATGACTTATCAATTTTGTTAGTTGAAATTCATCCGATGCTACAAGAATATTGATCAATTCCATTGTATTATGTTCTACCAAATCAATATCACCCGTATATAAATACCTTTTTTTTTTTTTCAAAAAATAAAAATCAATAAATAAAATTAAAAAAAATTTTTTTATTTCACATTAATAATTTTAACCATTTACTTTAACAATGCTTGAAAAATATTTGAAGAAATATTTGGTTTCCTAAATCTAATTATGCCGTTTTCACGCTTTATCCAAGTTTCAGATAAAGCGACTTGAAAATAAGGTGAACGAGCACTCAAAATGATTGAGTGTGCTTTGAAATTTTTTACATTTGCACCTTCACCAACACTTATAATCATATCATAATTCTTTCCTATTTCAAGAATTTGTCCTATATCGCAAGAAAGATCTTTGTGAAAAGCAGAATCCATTATTATTTTTTTTCTTAATAATAATTTTTCTCAACATTAATTATTATGCACCCCCCCTTATTTTCACATTAAATATGTAGATAGTTATAATTTCTCTTTCAAAAAAATTATAAATTTATAAAACTTTGTAATTTAAACAATAAAGTATCCAATGTTTATATTTACGTGTTTTTAATTATAGGATGATTTGAATTGTTGAATTTGATATTGCCAAAATGCTCAAGTTTTTTAAATGTTTGACGTAATAACAACATAGCAACTTGTTCACGAAATTAAAAGCGTTGTATAAAGAACTCAGTATTCAATGAATCAATATTCAATGAATCAATATTTCAATGAATCAATGATGCTGAATGCTGATTACTGAGTAGCTGAGAAACTACTTTTTTAAAACATAATTTTTGGGGAAGCATGAGGTTAAAATTTCAAGGTGTTTGTTATTGAAAATGCTTTTTGAATGTCTGGGTATTGATTCATGAAAATGATCATCGCCTTTAAAAAAGATTAAAGATGAACTCGAATTCAACCATGTAAACTATTGCTATTACCCATGTCAATGTTGTGGATTAGATGATCTGCCTTTTGTTGCTGTGTTCAACCAAACCAAGTAAAACTGGGGTTTGAAATTGTACTTTGAAAATCCGGTTTTTCCAATTTGCTCTTAAAAATCTCTTAATTTAACCAAAAAAAAGACCAAGTTCTTATGAATTATTATCAATTTTATATTATTAGCATAAGGAAATCGAAGATAAAAAAGACACTGAATTCACCCAACAACTGCAAGAAGTGGAAACCTACAACCAAAACTTGCCCCAAGAAGTTAGATATCCTAAATATGAAATTCATCCCCAAGCTATTTACACTAGTCGCTTAATAAATACTCCTTGTGAAGGTTGGATGTTCTTCAATACCATAAGGCATGGAAAGCTGTCAAACTCACTATGGATAAAGCTTCTGTAACAAGAACAATTGAAAAACAAATACATTATATAACTATTCATGGTCCAGGAAATGAGAAACAGAATGCAATACATTTCCAGAAACAATTCGAAGTATAAAATTTCTTTGGATAGCTTTGTTACATTTATGCAGCTACCCATGGGACTACATCTCTGCATGGATATAGACCACACCTCCGCTGCAGGCTGTAGCTACCCATGGGACTACTTCTCCACATGGTTATAAACTATACAGCCAGCTTTTAACTGTTAATAAAATTGAAATTTGAACAGAAATATTTTCGTTTTCCAAAAAAATGAATGATAAATGGTTGTGGTAATTTTATGTCACCGTATCGTGTAAATCTCAATTGTTATCTGCTTGTCATGATTTGTGTAACTGAAAAACTTATCTGTTTTGGTTCAAAACGTCGGGGTTGAGCGAAACAGATATTTGACCAAAAGGAAATCGTGTTTCGCTTTAGATGTTTTTTGTGTGGTGTCAACCGCTGTCTACCGTTAGTTATTCGTCTTGCTCCGACGTTTCGGACTGTTCAAAATGACCAAAAACTGATGGTCTTGTCTTGGAACCTTTACCTTGGATCGTCAAAGGCTTGTCGCACAACGTGTTAGTGATATTTTCTGGTCACGAGACTGGGGTTCAAAAACGTTTTATTTCGTTTTGTCGATTTAAAAAAAATGATCGATAAACAAAACAGTATTTGCAAATTTTTTTTGATTGTTCGTGTTGAATTAAAATTTTTTTTTGGATTTTGACCATTTGAGAGAGATAGTGGGTGATCTGGA